AGAAATAGACATAAAATTTAAAAAATTCAAGGAGAAATAGATAAGGTTTCAAGACAGGAATTACAAGAACAAAACAAGGTTTATAAATAAAAATATTTTAAGTGAATGCAGGATTGAAGAAGACATGTAAAATAGTCCAACTGTGTTATAACAAAACTGAAGTGAAAAAACAACAACAATATAAAAACAAATGTCACACACCCAAGTCAAACCTTTGAACTAACTGCATATCCCTGACAAATATAATTTAAAAAATTTAAAGTGGTTAATATTAATAAAAAGGTAAAACAAAAGAAACAATTCAAGAGTGAGTCAACAATATGCTAAGTGCTGACTAGTAGTATATGATGGTAACTCACCAAGACTGCCCTCTATTTATGAGGTGTGGGGTATATTTTCTTTTTAATGTTTTTCAAATCCAGAAGTACATATATCACAGATTGGGAACCACTGGTCTTTACCATGCGGAACAGAAAACTCCATATGGTCTACTGCTACTGTTCTCTCATCTTTAACTATTATCACCACTTCATTAAGTTTCAGACTTTAACAGACCAGTTCAACAACATCACTCAATCAATAAACCAACAGGCTATGATAGAAAGGTACTATAGGAAGCATATCAGGTACTGTTTGAAGTCATTTCCAGAGGGAATAGGTGGAAGAGTGCAACAGCTTATTCATCTTGTTGAACACTTAAAAACTAGCTTTAAAAACATAAAGTAAGCCTCCTAAAGAGAGCTGTTATAACTGCTAGCCATCAGATCTGAAGTGTCACATCAATAGACAAAGTACAAAGCCTGAGCTTAAACTTGTCAAAAGACTTGCTCCATGTGAAATGATCAATTCATTGACTGCAACCAATTCATGGATTCCATAGTGGATGAGGACAAGTGAATTAACCTAAATCAAAGTCGGTGTACATCTTTAAAGGAAGCTGTTCAGTTGGTGATAGAAGAATCAGTTAAAGTCAAAGATAAATAACTAAAAGCACAACCCAGAAATTATGTTATCGTCAGATCAAGTAGAGTGGAAACATCAACTCCCTCTGACAGAAGTCTAGAAGAACCCAAAGAATTAATCACACAACTGATAACTCAAAATGGAAGAATGGACATTAAGTGCTTTAACTGCAACTTAAAAGTACATATTGCCATAAACTGTGGACAAAAGTCTTTAAGAAATAAAAACATCTCCCAAAGGATGATAGAAGAAGCTATAAATGTAGAGAACTAGGATAATATAGTCAAGACTGTGATAAATTGAGAAATGATAATAAAAATAAACTGAGTCAATACCCTGAGGATAAATCCTAGAGCCCAAACAGAACAAAGAACTAACAAGATATTGGAAAATAGGAATAAATTAGATTTAACAAGTAAATTTCAGTTGAGAATACTCCATCAGCTTCACTAAGGAGACCAATAGTTAAAAGAAACAAGTCTACAAGGCAATGGATTCACACCTCGCAACATGTTGATCAACACTGATTCTATTGTATAATTTAATCTGATAATAAAAAGTAGAAACTACCTTCAGAGATAAGGAAAGAGAATGGATGGATGCAAACACTAAATGGTTGTAAAGTCACAACAAGAAAAAGGTCGAAGACATCCTGCATGTCCGAAGCTTCTCTACACAACGTGTGGGTAATTGATGTGGAGGAAATGCATAAGTTGTTCCTAATTAATCCTTGTAGGAGTAGGAGTGTTTTAATTCTTGGCAGTATAACTGACTTCCTTGATGTCACTGGAAGTTTAATCTCTGGTGATGTAATTTTCACATAATGTACAAGAATGTCCTTGGCATAGACTATGAAACTCTTTGAAGCAAGTCTGATCTCATGTTTTTGTTTCAGTGCAAAGTCTATTTTCAACTCCATCATCGATCTAATGAGATATTTTATTCATGCTTCTCAAATTGAAATCCACTGTAGAAGGTTTTCTTTGAGCAAATCATGCAGTCTGTGTCATTGATCAATTGTTAGACCTTCAAATCTCTTGTAAATAAGGTGATAAGTTCCCCTTATATGAAGATTTGACATCAGATTTCCTATGTCTGGTTTCTGAGGTGACTATTTTCAAAGTTCTGTGACATGGAAGTACTACTAGTAGCCTCACATCTTGTAATGTTCCATCCATGACTGACTTGAATTTCATGGTGTGTTCATGGCCCTGATGATGACACCCTAATTTTTCTGATCCACAAAAGTTCTTCCAACCAGTAAACCTTAAGGACAAAGCTGGTGTAACCTTACATTTTGTCTTCTAATGGTAATCATTGTGAATGCTTATGCATTGATTGTTATTATTAGATTTGTTAACTCTTATTTTAATTCATTTGTCACTCTTGTATGCTTTGATAAAACTTCTCTTTCCCACACGTCTTGGTGTTAAGATGTTTGATTCATGAGATTCTGAAACAATTCCTTGTTTTATATGGCTTTAAGTGTGTGGTTTTATGTCTTCTATTTCTTTGAAAGCCTCAGCATGTTTCACAACTGGGAAGCATCTCACCAACTGACATATTGGGGTTATTTGTCATGTTAGGCAAGTTAATGTGATAATGGTTGGAGACGGCTTGAATGGGTAATGAAGAAAAACTTTAATATATGTTTAACATAACAGCAAATGTACAACGTTTCGACAAGATTTTGTAATCATCAGGTACAAGTTAATGTGATAATGGTTGGAGACGGCTTGAATGGGTAATGAAGAAAAACTTAACATAACAGCAAATGTACAATGTTTCGACAAGATTTTGTCATCATCAGGTACAAGTTAATGTGATGGCAAAATCAAAATCAACAACCAAATGATTTTAGCAGAGAATTTCTGTGACTAAATGGATGGGGGGTGGGTTCCCTCTTCTGGTTGTGTGAGGAACTAAATGATTTGTTATCATTATTGCATTTTACTTCTTATGTAGTGATGAAATAACTACACAATGGCACCTTTTCACAGAAAAAAAATCACAACAAAAAAGTAACGAGTGATAAAAGCAACAGTTCTTTCTTCTGGATTAGTCTAACCTGGTTGTTAATAGCACAAGGGTCATACTTCTGGTAACAACGTTTCCTTACAGTAAGTATCACCTGAAGACCTTGTTAGGCCTACCTCATCCAACAATTCTCCTTGAAAATAACAGTCCGAGCTGCCTAACAACATTTTGTAGAACATGTAATCAAAGGCATAGAAATTGATCTACATGAAGTGACCTGGTAGCATTTAAAAAATTCTCCTTAAAATAATGGCCTGAGCTGCCTAACAATACTTTGTAAAACACGTAATCAAAGGCAGAGAACACTTTCTGCTTGAAGTGTCCTAGTATTAGAAACAATCAGTAGAGTTTGGCACACTTACCAAAAACAAAATGATGTATTTCAAATTTACATTTGATTAGGTCCAGGACAGGAGGTGACTTCTGGTATAAAACAAAAAGCCCCCAAGACAGTTACTTGTGACAGACCAAAAATACATCCAAAATACACTCCTAAATCAAAATATGAAATGGACTGATTAAGAGAAGTGCAAAGATAAAAAGTATATCTGCAGCCTAGTGTTATTTTTATCAGTTTCTTTAGGCCTAAAAAAATCTTGCTGCTCCAGCTTGGGTATGTTATGGCAATACATAAAGGACATTTTTTTTTAGCTTTTTGTCCATACGACTCTACATAAAGACGTTAATACACTTTGGAAGGAGTTTAAAATTCAAAGCAAATGATAAAAACAATTGTAGTTTTATTAATTTCAGGATCACAGAAACCTAAAAAATTCATATTTTTAAGATTTACTTTTCAAATTTAAAACAGATACACAAATCATCAGATCTATAAACTTCAAATTATCATATTAGTAATTTTATAAAGAATCATATAAAACCACCAGCAATGAACCAATGAAGTAATACTTGATAGAAAGTTGAAAATTAAACCTTGAGAAATCATTTATAACTTTATTGACCAATATTATTATTTTTTGATGATGTTTCAGTAAAAAGAGAGCTTAAACCATGATCTTTTTTAAATAAAAATTTTAAAAATTTACCATCCCATATAAACAAAAAGTTTCACATTACTTTTGTCTATCTACGATTGTTTCTGAAAAAACAATGAATAAAACATCTATTTCAATTTCTACATTACCGAGGCTTCGGGTTCCTCAAAGTTCTTGTCTAAATAATATTTCTGTACTATTTTAAATTGATTTCTTAGACTACTCCTAGACAATCTGAAATACATATTCTTATTAAACAGAAACTCTGTCTAAAGGAAGTTCATTAAAATTTATCTATTTTCATGAAAGTTTTCATGTTTGTATTCCACCAATCATAAATTAGCACATTCTCACTACTCCACTCCAATATTAATTTCTAGTAAATGTATATAAATAAACTAACATTGAATTATTTTGGAAATTTGATTTATGCTTTAAAAAAAAAACAACCAAATATTACTTTTATCTTCAAATTTCTATAAGCTTCTTTTAATATGTTCTTTTTTTCTTAAGCTTTGAAAGGACAAGCTTTCCTCAGATGAACAGAAAGGTTGTGTTTCCACCTGAAGATGGTCAGACATTTAGGGCACTCATATGTTTTCTGAGAATGACACTGAATGTGCTGATAAAGATTTTTCTTTGCTTTAAAAATCTTCAAGCAGAACCTACAAGGAAATCCATCCTTCTCATTTCTTCCATGAGTCCCTAAAAGATCTAAAAGAGTTTTAAATCAGTATTTAATAGTATAAAAGGCTACCAAGTTGGCTTTAATCAACTCCTGATTTCAATAATACTCAACTGTTCCAAAACAGAGGAAGATGAAAAAAAAAACTCAAAACAAAACTGAAACTTTATCATTTCTCAAAGTATCTTGATGAAAGTTTAATATCTTTGTAATGAAAGTTACATCAAAACATCCGACTGCTAAATTATAATAAAATATTATACTATTATACTATATTATTATATTATAATAATATAATACAATAATATAAAGCTCAAAAAGAGAACTGTATTTGCTATTAACAGTAAAAATGGAAGCTGCATTACGTACTATGCTCATATGCACCATAAAAGTACTTGATTAACACAATATTTCAATAATAATTTTGAGAGGCAAAATCTTTACTAAAGCATGAAAACTATACCACACCCACAAACACCAAACTCAGCTTTATTTCATTGCAACAGATCTAAAATAATTACTATTATCGTATAATTCTAACTAGCCATTCATCCACAGCCTAAGTTTGTAAAGTTATCTTTAACAATGCATTTTAGTTACCTGAAGTGTTTAGAAAACATAATTTACAGTGCAAGATTCTAATTCTTTCCAGTATCACTTACAAAAACTTACTATTCAATGCATACAGTGATGGCTTTGTTTAAGATTGGGTGGTCACCATCCCTCCCAAAAGTGAAAACAAATCAGTGACAATTAGGGGACCTATAATCTCTTCTCATATTTTAGCATACTTAGTTTAAAAAATAGAAGATATCATACACAAGATTTTGATATCAGGTCTACTTTTTCAGACCTAAAGATTGTGTTTCCATTTAAAAGTTGAAAAGCACTGTGGACACTGGAAAGTTTCTTGAGAATGTCACTTGACCTGCTGGTTAAGATGCTTTTTAGTTCTGAATGACTTTGAGCAAAGCCTGCACAGGAACTCAAGATGAACATTTCTTGTATAAGAAGGATCTGTAAGATAGTGAAACCATTAGTAAATTAAATACTAATTTGAAAATTATGGCTTAAAAGAGAAAAAAGCAAAAGATTCTAATTATTCGGTAATTAACTCAAAACACATATAACCAATAATTCTATTATTGTTATTACCTATAACAGTCGACTGTTCAGGACCATAAGCAAATCTCCAAACAACAATAGTTTTATCAAGTTGTTGTGCTGAAAACAGCGATTGGTGGTTATGAATATCCTGAGAAGATTTATGAAACTGTGTTCACCCCCACACACCCCAAAAAATAAACATTAAGCAAGCTGATCATACTGATTCCAGCTAGAAACCTACTTTAAGAAAAAACAAAAAACATTCCAGTTTAGATTTCCTTTCTTTAAGATGTTGAATTATGATGGTATTTCAGATTGACTTCTTCCATATATGCAGTATACATGCTGTGAATATGATACTGATGTGTTACCAGTTGTGCTACTACTTATACCCCAAACTTATAGGCTAATATAATAGTACAAAACTTTGACTTCCACCTGTACATGTACTAAGAGTTGTTGGCTAATAAGCAGCATTGTCAACCATGAAATACTATAAATCAAAACAAACATGGTGACTGAGTTTGTTATCATTCAATAAGATCTGCACACACACACACACAGTGAAGGAAGCAGTAGAAGATGTTAAGTCTGTGGAACTTTTTAAACATATTATTCCCTGTGGTTCATCATACTAAGATATATCAGAACATCTCAAAATTATATGAACCATAGTATAAGAAACCCGAGTGCTTTTGGAAACTACATCTTCCTTGAGTTCTCAAGTTTCTTTTCTACCGACATGTCTGTGATTAGTTTTACTTTTGTATATGTATTACTTTATCTTCACTTCTCTTTTGTATCCTTTAAAACATCCAAGTACATACTTGCAAAAAGATCAAAATGAACACAGTAATAATCTTACTTTAATGTTATGGCTTCCACACTCAAGCTGTAACTACTTATGCAACAAATTTTCATTCTGGGGGTGGTGGTTTATATAAAAAAATTTCATTGTTACATCGCTTTATCACTGTTAGTTTTTTTCACTTTTTATGGTACTTTTACAATTTTTTATATAACTTAAAAAGAAGATGATTTTTCAACAGGTAGCTCTTGTAAAAAAGTTACCCATAGTCAATTAAGGCTACTTACACCACTCTTAGGTCTTAAATGATTCCTAATGCATTGAGATAACAGTTACTACCTAGTTTTCTGTCTCAGAGGTATTTGATACACAAATCAAATTTTACTTTAACTTTTGAAATATTTCCTTCTAGGCCTTGTAACTGACTAAGAATATTACTCAGTCAGATTCTTCAAGTTAAGCCTTATCAACTGCAATTGAAATGGTTTTACCATACAGATCCCTAGCTCAATTGGAAAACGGGCAGGGTGGAGTTAAGTTGAAAGGGCACATTTGCGTGCAGAAGCTCAAGGATTTCAGCTTTTATCCTACCTCAGGATTATGCGATTCTATACCTTTATATTAAGATTCAAAAGGACCCTCATGCTATCAGCCTAGGTACTATTACCACGTAAGGTAAGTATCCATTGCATAAACTGAAATAAATGACAGTTATCAAACATTTCTTAAGAAAAAACTTTATATTTTAGTTATCTTAACTAATGAGTCACTGTACAGGTTCGGTTGATTTGACCGATCTCATAATCACTATAAAAAAATTAGGAATTAAGTATAAATTATGCCTTTTTCATTCTAGAATGACTACAAATTATAACACAAAAACACATGTTGAGGCTAAATAGCTTAAATCTCATAACTTTATACATTTGTATATATTTATCATTTCTATTATATTGACCTTTCAGCCGTGCCTGGCTAATGATACAGAAGTAACAATGATGCGGCAAATGTGAACTCGACCCAAATCCAATAATATAAAACTGACCTATAGTCTTTACAAAGGAACCTGTCTTGGCTATGTTTTAGTGGACTAGTATTTTGTAAAATACAGTCACGATTCAATTATTATACATAAAATATGTATATAGATTGTTACTATTTACACATAAGTTCTTCAACTTATTTTTCATAAAACATAAAACAGTAAATAAAGATGTAAAGCAAACAATTATCTCTTCTAGTTATGACCTTTGTACTTGTTTGCTGCTTATTGTAGGTAGTTAAGCTTTATAAAATATTGCACATCGACAATGTGAAATGAAATAATTTTTTTTAGGTTTCACCTTTGAAATAACCAAAAAATCATAAATTACAACATCAATACCATAGAAGTCCACTATAATTTATCAATCATAGTAATTAAGCTGTATTTAGGTGTAAAAAATATGAAATTTCGAGCATACTAAACACTCAGCTTACCATACTATGCTCATATGCACCCTTGATGTGAAAACTTTTTTATGCCCACCTCTAAACATGCCTCTTCCGCACCCAGCATGACCTATTTGTGTATATACTGGTATGTCATTTTCCATGTTAGTTGTTATTACTATATTACTTAATAGTAGTAATATCTGTACGGTAGTTTCTCAAACTTTATTTTTAAACAGATATCATTTATATGCTCCTATAGTCTTATTTGCACCTCTTACCCCCACACCAAAGTCTCCACTTACAAAGCCAACCATGGCTTACACTACCTAGACTCTCTCCACAGATGAAACATGGCTATGAAATATATAAAAATATACACAAACATATGATGTGTGGCATGCTGTAGAGTCTTCTATTAGAAATATGACATGAAAATAAATGTAAAAGAATTATTTGTTTATGTGCAAAGCTGCACAATGGGCAATCTGTGTTGTGCCCATCACAGGGACCAAACCCCAAATTTTAGTATTATAAGCCCTCAAGCTTATCACTGGATAGCAAGGTAAAATGTGAAGCAAAATATGTATTCCTATAAGGGTATTTTCTTTTAACCTATCTCAGGTTTAAAATCCTCCCACATTTTACATAACAGTTTACTTTAAATGTCAGGATACTGTGCTAAGTAATGATTTACAATTAAAAGTATATACAGTTATATAAAAAAAAGTCTAACATTCATACAAAAACATTTCCAAGAAAACTGAACACAACAAACACTTCAATGAAAAGAGTGGCATTAGATTGTACATAATACAGGAAAAATTTTTAATAGTTATAACATGAAAGTTAACACACTACAATCATCAGTAAAAAAGGCACCAAACTCTTCCACAATCCAGTCAGCCTAAACATAAGTAAAAATAATGTTTATTCAAGAATAGACAAAAAAGAAAATAATAACTATTCTTTTTAAATAACATGGTATTCTTTTTCTAGTTCTCCCCCATTTTTCTCAATACACGTGCATTGCTTCTCAAACTCCCCCTACATTTTAATAAGCTCCAATCAGTATATTCAAATCATGTTCTCCTAAAACTATACCAAAATAAAACCATAAATATAATTCGATTTAGTTAAGAACATTGCTCAAATCTAATAATATGCTACAGAATGGAAACATAATTAATCCATCAAAGAACATAGTTTACCTTTTTCTTATTGTAAAGTAAGTCTTGTGCATGTCAAAGAAGTAAAAACTTGCTCATTTCAAGAAAAGACACAAACTTGTAACAAGAACTTTTTTATTTGGCACTTTTCTTTCTTATGAACAAAATGATTGCTAAATTAGATGTAAAAACATAGTTCAACTACATTAAAAGCTGCCAAGTCAAGTTTCCAGTTGGGGATTTCTAAATTTTAGTACAGAAAAACTGAGGAGGCTTACGTGTAACTGTGCTAAGTAATGATTTACAAAGCTGAGTAAAAAACAGAACAGACTACACATGAAAAGAAACCAAAGAAAACCAGGTGTATACCATACATTCAATGTTAATCAGTAAGAACTCCAACTGGACTGTTACACTGAAGATGTGTGTGTGTAGCAAAGAATCAATGATCTTCAGTTCATTGGTAAAGATTCAACTTGGATTTATACATTATCAATATTTCTGTACCTTTCAAACATGAATCAAATATTTGTATTCACTATAAGTTTAGTCTGTGGCTTAACAACAGAATATCTTAACTATTTAATTACTGATTACGATTCCATACCATATATATTCTTTCCAAAGAGAAACTCTTTGTAAGGAAACAAAAGCCAAATAAATTTTGTAACACAGGATAACCATTTTAAAAAAATGTCCTAAATTTTAAGGAACTTCTTTTAAAGGATTGAATATATTCTCTATTTTTACAATTTTTAACATAATATGATTTATTAGTTGAAGAATAAGAACTTTTTTGACAGCACTTAAAAATAAAAAAGACACTCTTTATTTGGAGCATACATTTCGATTTATATGATAGGCTAGATCCTTTTTCCAACGAAATGCTGTCGAACAACGAGGGCAATGAAAATGTTTTCCTGTATGAATTTTCATGTGCTGATTTAAATGTTTCCTTGCTTTGAACACCTTTCCACACACTTTACACCAAGTTTCTTTCCTTAAAGCTGCATGTGATGCTCTCCACCACAGACCTAAGTGTCCTGGAAAACATAAAGAACATTACAGATAAACCGCAATCTCATTAAGGCCTAGCATCCACACCCTAAAGACTAACTATGATGATATCAAACCTTACAAGTAGTCACTTGAATTGAATCTCTTAATAACCTAGTCTAATACTATCACAAGTATAAAGGTTTGCCCTTGATAATAACATACTTGGTTTGTCAAAAATAGTTGGGGATTTTGAACAGTTAGTGTGTATATATTTTAACTGTATATTTAATTCACGGCTTTAGCCAATAAAATATATGTGTTAAGAAGCTTTTCATCACCTTTTTGATACGTATAAAGTAAAAAAAAAAAGGTAGCAGCCAAGGTAACCTTTCAAAGTCATATAGCCCAAGTTTTAAAATTAGCTTCTTGATAAGGCATCCAATTAAGTGAGTCAGGTTAGACAGGTGAGTGTAACAGGAACTTTATTCATCATCTTCCCCAAAATGATAGGTATTATAGCAGAGGAACACTCGGCAGTTAATCACAGCAAATATATTTTTATCATTCCGAGTAATAACAGATGCTTTTTAAAAAATTATTTAGTAATAAATTTCAACAAACAAACTGGAAAAGACAGCAATAGTTTTTGTTCGACCTGATCACTGCCAAACACTTAGGAGATTGAAACATATTCACTCAGTGTCTCTACTTGTGATAGACAAGATTTTCCCACATATATTGCACCAGCTGCATGCTGGAATCATTTCCAGGTAGACCAGATGCATAATACAAAAATACTTTAAAGTTGATTTAATTAACCAGAAATACGATACTGAGGTTTAAGTTCCATCATTCTGCTCGGAAATTGAACACACTCTTCCACCTATAGAAAACAAATTATCTTTTATTTTTACTCCTGCCTTTAAGTAATTCTGTATCTAGAAAGGAAAATCACACCCATGATGAAAGTCACTGTCCAAACCCTGGGTCACATATCATTGGAGTTAGAAAATCATTATTTAAATCCTGGATCAAACAGATGCTGCTGAAAAAGGTAAATTGTTGAATATACTCTGATGAAGTCAGTAACTCACCTTCTAATCAATTAACACAAATGTTTTCCAACAGCTACCATCTCAGAAAGCAACAAATAGAGAATTTTTCTTGCAATATCTTGTTTGTTTGTTTAATCATTCGTAGAAGAAAGTTCAAAACACAAAGGCTAAGGTGCATCAACTTACAAAAGAAAATTCTACAGGGCTAATACTGTACCTTCTACAGACTTGACTGTTCACACTTTTCAAATTGACTTCAGAACCATTGTTTCCTCTGGTTATTATGTTCACACACATACTGTACTACACGAATAAATAAATTATTCTTCCTGACTAACATTGTGTTCAATATGGCCATAGCCTCATAAAAACTGTTACAAGCATGGAAATGTTCAATTATATAGTTAAGACTCTTCATCTGTGTGATAATAAGACATTTTTATTGTTAACTGTTTCATTTAACCTTCAAACAAAATATGGATAATTTCTCAACAAGATTAACTACTGACAGAAATGAAACTTTCAAGAATTGTATGAAACTCTAAGTTTGTAAGCAGTCTATATTAACAGGTACATCAAGACTACAGTTTCTTATAGTGAACCTATTGGATCACAGTCTTAAATTGCTCTAAAGTGGCGAGCTCTATGTAGTTTTAGGTGGTCTTTACGAAGGAACGACTTGCCACACATATCACAGATGTAACCTGGTTGATTAGGATAGTGTCGTTCCATGTGTCGTTTCAATGAAGCTCTTCGAGTGAAGGTGGTCTGGCAAATCACACAGGCGTGGATTTTGTCATTCCCTCTCTGGTATCCCGATAAAACATCTTCGGAAAAAAATCCACTCTTAGTTTCAAAAAGTCGAAATGTTTCTTAACAAGTGAATTTGCCAACACCGTTTTTATACTAATAAAGTATTCATTCCAAACAATTTGTTAATTATAACAACGACCAGCATATCATATAATTGATGTGAAAACTTTTTTATGCCCACCTCTAAACATGCATCTTCCGCACCCAGAATAACCTATTTGTGTATATACTGGTATGTCATTTTCCCATGTTAATTGTTATTACTATATTACTTAATAGTAGTAATATCTGTATGGTAGTTTCTCAAACTTTATTTTTAAACAGATATCATTTATATGCTCCTATAGTCTTATTTGCACCTCTTACCCCCACACCAAAGTCTCCACTTACAAAGCCAACCATGGCCTACACTACCTAGACTCTCTCCGCAGATGAAACATGGCTATGAAATATATAAAAATATACACAAACATATGATGTGTGGCATGCTGTAGAGTCTTCTATTAGAAATATGACATGAAAATAAATGTAAAAGAATTATTTGTTTACGTGCAAAGCTGCCCAATGGGCAATCTGTGTTGTGCCCATCACAGGGACCAAACCCCAAATTTTAGTATTATAAGCCCTCAAGCTTATCACTGGATAGCAAGGTAAAATGTGAAGCAAAATATGGATTCCTATAAGGGTATTTTCTTTTTACCTATCTCAGGTTTAAAATCCTCCCACATTTTACATAACAGTTTACTTTAAATGTCAGGATACACATAAAATATACAAATATTAACACCTTTATAATAGTCTTCAGCTTTCCTGGTATGCCCTCTGAAGCACTGTTAAGTACTAGTTAGCATAATGATACACATTTGTTACATTTATGGGGAAGGTGGGGGGTCAATGAACAGTCTGTTTAGAACTGCTTCAGGAACTCCTGCTGCAACAAAGATGATTTTGTCATGGTTTAGGATGGACAAATAACAGTCTGGCCACGTGTGTGTGGTCTACATTTGTAATATTTATAATGGATGTTAATCAAAAGTCTGTTAAAACAATGCTAGTCGTCACAAGAACTGCTTCCACCACATGCCACTGCATCACTGATAGTTTCATCAAGGCTTAGAATAGACCACTGGAAGTTATACCTCTGTGTGTGTGTGTGTGTGTGTGTGTCTGGCATAACCAAAAAAGCACCCCACAACTGTGGACTCAATCCCACTTTGACAGAGATTAAGTCTCAGAAGATACAAGATTGTACTTGAGCCCTTAAGAAATCAGGTTGCTCTTGGTGCATTAGCACTTGGCAAGAACCATCATCACTCATGTACACAGGTTTAAATTCATCTCTTTATAAAGCACAATTGGAGACAAAAGTTGGTTTAGATAATTACATTACAAAAAACAAAACAACACATACTGATAGTCACTCTCTCAAAAGTACTGCATTTAGGAATCTTATTGCAAACAAGTGAAAAAAACACTTGAATCATTTTAGTTGTCCAACAGATGATGAAGTTTTATTTCTATATAATTCTGTGATTAATCCTTTATCCCAAAAAGCCTGTAAGGTATGGTATCAATACATCAGTTATATTAATTTTTTTCAACTTCAAGGAACACAGCTACAAGAACATTATTAGCTGCAATTCAAATTAATTTTGGTAAACGTGAACCGTATTCCCCATTCTTCTTCTTCTTCATTATCACTGTAGCACTAAAGTGGCAAGATGTGAAGAATAAACATGATCCTAAACAAACAAAAAAACATACAGGTATGCCCGATTACTGTTACATGAATGTCACGAGTTTCAGCTAGATTTTGAAATAAACTATTTTTTTTTACATAAATAACTTATGAAACTACACATCTTTATATCATAATTTCAACACAGAAGTAAACCTTACAAATTTGATATAGTTTGAATATTTTGAATTTATCTTCCAAAAATATTAGACAATATGTGTGTGGGTCTATACAAATATATAAAGCCAAAGACTTTTTTCCTTGGTTATTACAACTTGAAAATACACAACATACTATGTTAAACAGCTTCAGAAGAAGTGTAAAGTTCACTCACATGATTATTTAAATAATTTAGAAAAAATGATACCACAAATATATTGCACACAGCAATCTTTTTTTTTTTTTTAAATATACAATTAGAGATATTTTTTGGTTACAGCTCCTTCTCAGAATCATTTGAAATGATGAGACTTCAGTTATCCATTCGTAAGGAAAGTTTTCCTGTATAAATCCCAGCCTGGGTGAGAAGTGTGTTGAGTCTTCTCTAGAAAGGTACTTTTATATATCATACATGTTTCCTCTTTCTTAGTAAAACACCTACAAGGAAAAAGCATTTCAACTCAAAATAATTTTTACTTGAAAAAATTAATATATAAAACAACTTTAACCTCAAATGCCTTTTGTACATGTAACAAACTGGAAACATATAGTTTCTAAGATATATAACTTGTAAGAAATAACCATATTTCCAACCAGTATTCAACTTCAAACAAATACTTCAAATTTTATATTTAACATACACTGTAGTCCCGTGCAAAAGTGTTAGGACAAACTCAAAAATTAGATTTCAGGTTACTTTCAAAGAATAGTGGAAGGTAAATCACAAGTGAAACATCAAAATTTTATTAATCATCATATTTAGTACAACAGAAACTCAGTGGAAGTGCTTGAGTTCTGCAAACAGTTAATATTTTGTGTGTCCCCCTTTGCTTTAATAATTACAGACAGTCTTTCGGGCATTGTTGCAACATAGTTAATTAAAGTGTTCTTTGGGATTTTACTCCAAATGTCTCTAATATACTCCCATAAAGTTTCTTTGGAAGTAACTTTTGATTTGTCAAGTTTTTCATTTATCAAATCCCAGATCTGCTCAACTGGGTTGAGATCAGGGATCTGTGGGGGTCATTGCAACTTCAGCAGCTTCCTTCTTAGCTAAGTATTTTCTGCATAGGATGGATGAGTGTTTGAAGTCATTATCTTCTTGGTAGTAGAATTCTTTACCAATAATACACAAACCACTGGGTATACTCTGATGGATCAGTATCTGATGGTACTTGTGCTGGTCCATTATTCATTCTATTTTGCAAATATCTCCTGCCGCCTCAGCAGAAAAACACCCTCAAACTATCACACTGCCTCCCCCATGCTTCATGGTAGGTACTATGCATTGAAATATCTTTCACCTTTCTTCTACCAGATGTAAAAACTACACTTTGAACCATACATTTCAAACTTGGACTCATCTGTCCATAACACCTTTTTCCAATCATCAACAGTCCAGTTTTTGTACTTTTTAGCAAATTTCAGTCTCTTGACAATATTTGGAGATTGAAGTAAAGATTTTATAACTGCTACATGACCAAATATTCCAAATCTCATTGAGTCTTCTTGATACTGTAGATCTGGACACTTTTCTGTCATTTGGTACATGATTGCTTATCTCATGCTTGAGATCAGTGGCGGTCTTCCTTCTGTACCGAAGGTTGTATAAACGAAGGTAATTAACATCAGTATCATTGC